TAATTTGAGACATTAATCAACTGAGATGAAATTTAATGAAATGAGATGATATGGGATGAAATATAATCGCAGTAAAATGGTGGTCATTTACTGAGATTTTTTCAGTGGACTTTTTGGAGGAACCCGAGAAGTTACGTCAAGCAGCTTTGTTTCATTTTCCCACATTTGTGCACTTTCACAGATATTAAACAGTTAATAAACCACCATTATTACACATTTAAACCTGAAGAAACACTAAATAGACAAAATAAAACAAATCACACAACTTCACTCCTCGCGTTCCCGCCAAAAAGTCCTGACCAATAATTTTTTTTTTTTTAAGAGATTTTATGACCTGGTAACTAAGACCTTTAAGTCATGTCTTATTTTACTTTATATTCTTAATTTTATGAAAAATGATAATATGGAGTGAAATGAAATGAAGATGATTAATTTGAGACATTAATCAACTGGGATGAAATTTAATGAAATGAAATGATATGGGATGAAATATAATCGCAGTAAAATGGTGGTCATTTACTGAGATTTTTTCAGTGGACTTTTTGGAGGAACCCGAGAAGTTACGTCAAGCAGCTTTGTTTCATTTTCCCACATTTGTGCACTTTCACAGATATTAAACAGTTAATAAACCACCATTATTACACATTTAAACCTGAAGAAACACTAAATAGACAAAATAAAACAAATCACACAACTTCACTCCTCGCGTTCCCGCCAAAAAGTCCATATTTAATCTATTCTGAATTTGACCACAGACTATAAGCAATAAGAAAAGTTTGACAATATACAAATAGTATGCATGCGTGTGTGTGTCAAATACATGGTAGTGTGTGCAAATAGTATGCATGCGTGTGTGTGTCAAATACATGGTAGTGTGTGTAATGTTTTTTTATTTTTTTATTTAATGTATTTTTTATGTAAAATTGAAAAAAAAATTGGCATTCTCCACTTCGTCTCTATATTCTTTATAAGTGTAGGAAATTTCATACTCCTCCGTCTGCGCAAATTTCGTAAAAAGGGGTACAAAGTTTTTGCTTCAAGTATTATATATATTATAGATACGGAAAAAACTAAGAAATTTTAGATTCTGTACATATTTTTGGTATTTGAAAATCTAAATTTTAGTGTGAATATTTATGATAATAAAACGATAAACATAAAACAAAAAAAAACGTGTGAATAAAGAGGAACATCGCAAGAAGCAACAACAAATTCCCTCCATAAGGCACATTGCAATAGATATACTACTGGAGGTATAACCCAATGAGGGACTGACGTCAAGCAGACTTCTTCTCCATCACAGGACCACAACCACACGTATATAAGTATACCCATGAAGATCGGTCCGCTGAGAGATGGACCGCCTGTTGGATGCTGCCTCCAACTGTCTATCAACTGCGTCCGACCATCTTGTTGATGCCCTACCTTTTGATCGTGTCCCCTCCTCTTGACCAAGAATGAGAAGCTTTTCAGCTCCTTATGCAACGTAATAAGGGGACATGCTGCACCAACCCGATATAATGTGGTATAAGGACGAAGAAGATAAAACTTTACATCATATAATTGACTCTTTTCATGCATTTAATAGCAGACTAGCTAAACTCCGCTGGTAAGGTGAGGACCTAAATAGTTTTTTTATTTATTTCGCAGCTGAGTAAGCCAGTATATGAGCAAGCTAGAGATAGGTGGTTATTGGCGTCCATTTTGACGTGAATATTCCAACCCAATTTGAAGCGTGATGTCGAAGTCTCAATTGCTAGATATAACGGTATCCCGATACCGGTATATAACCTTGACACATGACTGTTTCGGAATTATTACAGAAAAGGTAAATAATTTTGAGGAAAATGTATGGATTCGCTATAATGTTATCAACAGCTCGATAGACTAATATGATATTCTAATATACGTTTGTACAAAAATCCCAAGAGTCGAAGGATCAGACAATGGTCGAGCCAATCTCAAAAAATCCAAGATAATATGAGAATCAGTGTAGGATTGTCGGAATGGATTTAACTATAAATTGTTGGTTAGAAATCGCATACCTCGATAAAATATTTCAGTTTTGAAGATGTATTTGGAAGATAGCTTTTCTAATTCCAATTACAATTTATGAACACGTGCAGTATTTGTATAGTATCTATATGAAGTCTATATGAAAAGGGTGAGCATATGGCCGACCTGGGAAGCAAGAAATACTGTTGAAGAAAGTTCATCCAAAGGCGATCGGGTAATGGTATTTAGGTTCCAAAGGCCATGGGTCTTAGACCTTAATGCCTAATCTAATAAATGTAATATGCATGTCCTTTTATTCTCATGCATATTAAAAGAAATACCATTCACAACTAAAAATTGTCGATTATTCATAAAAAAGAATCCAATAAGCCATAAATCAATGCCACAAAACTTCATAATTCGGCTTCACGGAAATCTGTCGCATCCAAAGCGATTTTTTTTTTCAATTATCCGTTAATTACATCGAAGAAACGATGTCTCGGTTACCAAAATGAAAAAAAATGCCTTCGTTAATCAAGTTTCCCGTGTTTAATTGCGAGATTACGATTCTTTATACAAAGTCCCGCTGTCGCGGCCAGCTGGCATTAGACGGGAAAAAAATCTCGATTTCGCCAACTCCCAAACGAAATAGTCTCGAGTGTGGTGAAATTAATTTATATCGATCGAAGCGTTTCTGTACATTTGGAATTTATTGTATTTTTGTAACGTTTAAATATTCTTAGCTAACATATATTTTTTTATTTTTTTATCGCTTAGATTTATGGACGAGCTCACAGCCCACCTGGTGTTAAGTGGTTACTGGAGCTCATAGACTTCTGCAACGTAAAAGCCACCACCCATTTTGAGATAAGGATTCTAAGGTCTCAGTATAGTACAACGGCTACCCCACCCTTCGAACCGAAACGCATTACTGCTTCACGGTGGAAATAGGCGGGGTGGTGGTACCTACCCGTGCGGACTCACAAGAGGTCCTACCACCAGTGATTACGCAAATTAAAATTTTGCGAGTTTGGTTTTTATTACACGATGTTATTCCTTCACCGTGGAAGTAAATCGTGAACATTTGTTGAGTACGTATTTCATTAGAAAAATTGGTACCCGCCTGTGGGATTCGAACACCGGTGCATTGCTACATACGAATGCACCGGACGTCTTATCCTTTAGGCCACGACGACTTTTAAACTTGAATTAAAACGCTCGATACAAAGCGTGTTATTAGTACTAATTTCAATGGTAGACAGCGGTTTGACTCTACCCCCTGGCGTTGCTCAAGTCCACGGGCGATGGTAACCAGTAATAAATACCATCAGGTGGCCGTGTGCTCGTCTGCCTACAAGGGCAGTAACAAAATCGTATTAACTTACTTGTAAATGTACTTTTATGCAGCGCGTTTTTGACACGCAGTTAACATGACTTAGCACTTAGAGCATCTTATTCACTTCATCTGCATTGTAGATCCCCCACATTCGTAATGTGCTCTCACCGAAGACGCACCAAACGAGAATAATTAAATACTTCGTTCTAAGTGCACGGTAACACGTCAGGCCCAGGGTGGTTAGTGCGAGTTTTTTAACGTTCTCGATAGCGTAAAAGTTAACTCAAATTTGTATGCAGTTAGAACAGCGCCCCTAGCGGAAAATAAACGTAGGCAAACGTTACGCTACGTAACGTTACGAACGTTAAGAATTTTAAATCGGAAACAAAGGCCATAATATAACTTAACTAAATTTTAATAAACACACTTTGAGCGGCGTAATTATGATTTACAGTAAAAATAACTAATAATAACTATAAATAAACAACTGGGAATCAATCACGCACGTCATTCGCCCCCAAATTAGGATTCCCTGGGCTATGGATACTAGAGACTGATTACATACTTATATGCATTTAAAAATAGACATATATAGATAATAAACACTCAAACAAAGAGCTAACAAACCTGTCCATCACACGAATGCTTGCCCGATGTGGGAATCGAACCCACGGCTCTCGGCGCAACAGTCGGGAGCGATAACTACTGCACCACCGAGTTAGTGAAACGAAATACCAAGTTGTGAGTCTTGTGACGACCTTATGACGTTTCGCGCGAGAATTAGGTTTTTTTTTTCTACCTATTCGCGTAGGAAAGGTAATCCACGGGCTCAACCTAACATTTGCTGACACTACTAGCCCTAGTAAGAGCAGTGCTTCGCTGAATCTACCACCGGTTCGGAATCGCGACCCACTGAGAAGATCCGGCGAGAAACTCAGTGGGCTAGTACGTATATGTCACACAGCTGTCTCACTAGCGCGGCTGTCTTACCAAACTTCTTACTACGTGACAGTAATAAGGCAAGTTCGTAATTAATTTCAACAGCCGCGTTAAAGTTCCACTTCATATTCATTTATTTAAGGTTTCAGGACTGTCAAATCAAACGAGATCTTAAGTTGCCAGCAGGAATTTACATATAAACAGACAGAAATATGAAATATGAATATATGTCTTTAAATGTGTGTAACTTGGCTCTTGGTAGGCAGCGACTTGGCTCTGCACCTGGCATTGCTGAAGTCCATGGGCGACGGTAACCAATAATAAATACTATCAGGTTGACCGTATGCTCGTCTGTTAACTAGGGCAATAAAAAAAACCTTAATATTAATATGTATTTGTTTATCATGTCTTTTGGTATTTTTTACTATAGATCTCACGACTACGAACTCACGGCCCACCTGGTGTTAAGTGGTTACTGGAGCGCATAGACATCTACAACGTAAATGCGCCACCCACCTTGAGATATAAGTTCTAAGGTCTCAGTGTAGTTACAACGGCTGCCCCACCCTTCAAACCGAAACGCATTACTACTTCACGGCAGAAATAGGCAGGGTGGTGGTACCTACCCGTGCGGACTCACAAGAGGTCCTACCACTAATTTCCACCTAAAATCCAACACGACACCAGATAATTAAAGTATCAATGCATTTTGAAATGTTATTTTACTCACCGGCTTCAACAGCGAGAGGTGCCAAGACAACGCCGTCCTGAAACCATCTGGTGACGATAACGTGGTGCTTCACAGCAGCTGAGGAAGTGCAGGTCAGGATCGCTGCTCCACCAGCCATGGCGTGTGAAGACTGGACCTTCAGTTCCCAGGGCGTATCCATAACTGCAATGAAAATAAAGTAAACGAATAAACGTATTGTTACGCCGGTAAGAGTAACGACATCTATCGCCGAAAAGTCGAACAAATATAGAAGGATCTAGTAGCACCCAGAATGATCGAGAATTACACCGCCATCTATTGTCAGATAGCGGAAACTACTACTAGAGATGTGTGGAATATTTTCGATAATTATAGGGTTGAAGTATCGTCTATAAAAGCGTTGTAGAGATGGCACGCAGTCAGTTAGTAATCGGAACTACTCGAAGCGAAACAGCGAACGGATTACCTGAAGCGAAGCGGAACAAGCGAATTGAGAGTTTAAAAATGTTTGTTGAGTGTTTTAAAGTGTTTGTGAAGTGCTTAAGTGTTATAAGTGTTGAATACAGTTTTAAGTTGTGCTTTGGTGAAATTTTATTTATCCCGAACCGCAGCGCGTAACAGTATGAAACTTCGTAACAGAAATTGACAGTACAGTGACATGTATCAGTGCGTGCTAAAATTACAAACCAATTACTGATTATTAAGTAGATTTAAAGAAAAATGAGAATTCGATTTTTTATCACACGATATTCTTTTATCGGAAATATTGTTCGTCAACACGTACTAGCTAAGGATTTTCTTAAAAAGTCTTGTTGTACTTGTCTGTGGAATTCGAACGCCGACATAGTAGTAGCTACGTGAAAAAAAAAGAAAAAACGCCTAAATTCTTTAAGCTACGACAATTTCTATGTAGTCTCTATTACTTTGTAACACTTTAGTGCTAGAGTAAAAAGTTTAAATCTAATCATCTTTGTGTCTTGCCACTTCAGATAATATTCTTCTTGTCTGGTACCATCCAATTTTGACAGGTGGTGATAAAGTTTTTTTTTTAATCGTAGATTGCTGGATATGAGGTACAGAAAACGAAGGCTCTGTGCTTGGAGATTTGGTAACCCAGAAACGTGACTTCTGGGACGCCAAACTTTCTCTCTCCTTCTGCTAAATATACTGAGTGTAAAAAGGAAATAAACCGTCTACCCTATTACTGAGTCCTTATTGTGCCGCCCGGCACTGGTGACCCTACAACCAACGACTTCCAAACTACTGAACTAGATCATAGACTGGATCATAGACTGAACTAGATCACGGCCCATCTGGTGTCAAGTGGTTACCAGAAGTCATAATCTATTATATTCTCTATCTATCAGCCCACAGACGTCCGCTGCTGGACACAAACCTCCCCCAAGCCTCGCCACAAAGATCGATCCTACGCTGCCCGCCTACAGCGGACCCCCGCGAACCTCAATAGGTGGTCGGTCCATCTTAATAATAATATAATCTTATCTTAATTTTATAATCACCGCCAAGTAAATGCTGTCATTCATATTCGTTGTAACACCGCATGATGGCGTCACAGCAGAAATATACGTCATATTTATACTCAATCATCCGAACGGGCTTTCAGGATGCATGCCACCAGTAAATGCCAGTTGAACATCGTAGTATACTAGTATGATATTCAGAGAAACAAGAAACTCCACAGAAATAGTTGGGATAGTAATATTCCAGGCTGACACCGCTGGATCAAACATAACTGGACTATCATTGTGAAATTATTTCTACTTTACTACTTTGATATTAAATAAAGGTTTCTCTGTTTTGTTGGAATGAAGTTCCTTAAGGGACGATGCGGAGGGATACCCTAACCGGGAAAAAACGTCCATAACGTAAGATTTTTATTAGTAATGCACACAGTGTACGACTTAACTTTGTAATAACGTACAAAAAATAACATATTTTTTATCATTCATTGACCACGATCTCAGAGCGTTCGTTTGCGCAATACACTAACTCTTATGCAAACAACCGTGAATGAAGTGTACAATAAGTTCGTACGTTACCGAATGACCGTGGGTTGTTGCGAAACTCCAGTTTTATTTTCTTTATACCTCGAATAGAACTTAAAATTAATATTTTTATAATAAGGAACTTTGCTCCTATCCGGTGTCCCACGACACCACACATCTTTTTTTATTCACTTCTTTCGGCTCAGTCCTCATGATCTTAAAAAAAACATGATAAATAACCAAATCAAGAATTACTTATCGCTTCGGCAAGAACAAATTTAAATTATTTCCAAATTCCATTTGAAACCAATTCACAATCTTCAGAACACCTTAAACGAACAATTTCCGGGAAAAAAAAAAAAAGTACCATACTCAAAAACAACATTGAAACTCTCCGGTATTAGCCATCGTTATATTTTCATGACACTGTTGGTATAAGGTTTGCACAAACAGCAGGAAACGAACGACTAAATCAAACAAGAGTTTCCGAGTTTGGGTACAGACCGTACCGTTTACACGTTCAAAATGGTCGTGCCTAATTTTAAGGCCGCTAATTATTATTTAAGACTACAAATATGTAGTTTACTACAAATATAAACAATTGTAGACGCATATTGTGAATTAAATAATGTGTATAGTCACCCATAGCATTATTATTTTAATATCAATAATTTGAATATATGACGATTTGCGTCTGGCCATATATTTGTTTCTATTCTCTTTCTCTCTACATTTCTGCCAATAGCTTTGAGAAGCTATTCTGTCTTCATCTGAAGACTGATCGGTGAGCTCACGGAATTCAGTCAAAAAAACTTTTTTTATTTTCTACCATAACTAGAATCTACAGATCAGAATCGCGATTCCGTCTATTGTGTATATATGGGTTAAGTTGCTTCGCTGTTTCCATTTTACTTCTTATGATCTATGAAAGCTACCACAACAATATTTGTGATTTTTAATCCAACCAGTTCGAATACCAGTAAATGTTTTGTATCAATTCTCTGAACTTTCTATTTTAACACGCATTCATAAATTTTACTAAATTGCAATAAAAAAATATGTTTTCCTATACCTTTTGGAACGAAGTACCTTATGGGACGATGCGGATGGGTACCGTAACCGGGAAAAAACGTCCGTAACGTAAGATTTTTATTAGTAATGCACACAGTGTACGACTTTTTTTTTTTTTATTGCATTGATGGATGGACGAGCTCACAGCCCACCTGATGTTAAGTGGTTACTGGAGCCCATAGACATCTACAACGTAAAGGCGCCACCCACCTCGAGATATAAGTTCTAAGGTCTCAGTATAGTTACAACGGCTACCCCCACCCTTCGAACCGAAACGCATTACTGCTTCACGGCGGAAATAGGCGGAGTGGTGGTACCTACCCGTGCGGACTCCCAAGAGGTCCTACCACCAGTAATTACGCAAATTATAATTTTTGCGGGTTTGATTTTTATTGCACGATGTTATTCCTTCACCGTGGAAGTCAATCGTGAACATTTGTTGAGTCCGTATTTCATTAGAAAAATTGGTACCCGCCAGCGGGATTCGAACACCGGTACATCGCAACATACGAATGCACCGGACGTCTTATCCTTTAGGCCACGACGACTTCGCAACTCACTTCACTCTGTAATAACGTACAAAAAATAACATATTTTTTTATCATTAATTGACTACGATTTCAAAGCGTTCGTTTGCGCAATACACTAACTCTTATGCAAACAACCGTGAATGAAGTGTACCACAATAAGTTCGCACGTTACCGGAATGACCGTGGGTTGTTGCGAAACCTCCAGTTTTATTTTCTTTATACCTCGAATAGAACTTAAAATTAATATTTTTATAATAAGGAACTTCGTTCCTATCCGGTGTCCCACGACACCACACATCTGTTTTTATTATTATTATTGTATTTTATTAAGCTACAATTTTTTTTATTATGTTATCGATCGGTGACAAGACGAAGAACAGAATTATTCGTAAATTTCGTGCGGAAAGTTTCGATCACTTACATACAGTCAAACAATCAAAGCAAATCGAATTCAGGTGTAAAGTTCCTGGGAAATGTGACTACCGGGGAAATCTCTGTTAATAATAAATAGAACGGAAGACATATCAGTGGGAGAATCAGTAAAATACGTTAACATTATTTATAGTATAAGAGAAGGTTGTGCTTAGAACCAAAAAAGTGTATGATAAAGGCTCCTTTGATGTAAGAAAACATAATTTGTACCGCCAATAAGTCCGTATAATGGCTTCACACGGGCTCATTTAATATAAATCCTACGCCATGAATGGTTTCCCTGGAATTTGTCACAAAAATCCATTACGTAAAAAAATGTTTCGAAGCTGATTTTAATTTAAAAAATCTATAAAAATCAATTCTCTGTGCCATTTTTTCGAATGTATATTAACATTAAATAATACATAGTTTGATTAAGAGTATTATTGTGAAGTCATCGTGGCCTAAAGGATAAGACGTCCGTGCATTCGTATCTAGCGATGAACCAGTGTTCGAATCCCGCAGGCGGGTACCAACTAATTTTTCTAATAAAATACTTACTTAACAAATGTTCACGATGGACTTCTACGGTGAAGCAATAACATCGTGTAATAAAAAACAAACCCGTAAAATTATAATTTGCGTAATTACTGGCGGTAGGACGTCTAGTAAGTCCGCACGGGTAGGTACCACCACCCTGCCTATTTCTGCCGTAAAGCAGTAATGCGTTTCGGTTTGAAGGGTGAGGCAGCCGTTGTATTGAACTGAGACCTTACAACTTATATCTCAAGGGGGTGGCGGTATTTAAGTTGTAGATGTCTATGGGCTCCGATAACTACTTAACACCAGGTGGGCCGTGAGCTCGTCCACCTAACTATGCAAAAAAAAATTGTACATAAGTCTGCGAATAGATGCTTATTAAGTCCGCATTGTAAGTAAAATAATTTTGAAAAAGTTGAACGGTCGAAATAATTTTTTAATACTTTAGTAAGTAGCAATCACCAAATTTCCATTGGTCGTTGGTAATTCATTGGTCAAAGAAATGTTCCATAAAATATATTAATTTCCCAAACCACTCAACAAAGTCCACCTAATCCGCACGAGGCCCGCTCATGCCGTATATCGCAGATGACAACGAATGATGACCACTAGCCCGGGACATGTC